AGCCCAAGCTGTGCCCACAACCCCACCGTGAGTGCCACGGCCAGTCCTTCCCTGCACACCTGACACCCCTTTCCAGGAAGGAATTCCTGCTGGGAATCACACCAGCCTGTGCCCTGCAGCCTCTGCTTCCCTTTCCCTGCTCCCAGGAAACTGGGCTTTCCACACACCCAGCCCTTCAGTGGTTTGAGAAGACCTTTTATGATTTATTTTTTTTTGTTTTATTAAACTCGTGGATTGTGGCAGGAGCTCAGAGCTTGCAGGAAACCTTGGTTCAGAGCTCCTGGGCTCACCTGGAACCACTCTGCTAAATAATAATAACAACTAACAATTGTCCAGTAATGCCAGGCTGCCAACAGGCCCCCTGTTAAAATCCAGTTTGGTGGCATCTTCTGAAATCCCTTCAGAAGTGAATTCTCTGCACTGAAGATCCTCGTGTTCCATTGGCCCCACGCTGGAGGGGTTTATTTAAATACAAATTGAATCCTCCCACTGGAAAGCTAAACAGGAGATTAAAATAGCTGCCAGGGGATGGGGAATTTGCTTTATGAAGAGTCATTTGACTCAACTTCTTGCTGATTTCCCCATTTTTCTTGTTTTATGGCCAGAGATGCGTTGGAATTGTTGCCTGTCCCAGCCAGCAGGGATGAACCTGGTCACTGTGGGGCTCAAATTTAACCCCCCTCCAGTCACCTCTGGCACTGGCACTGCTCCAGGGAAGTGGCCACTGGAGAACTGATGTGGAAACAAGACTTTTCCAGCTCTGGAAGTTGTAAGCTCAAGGGATGATGGTGCTCAGAACTCTGTGCTGGTGGGGAAAGCTGCAGGGGCAGGATTCCCTGGGGGTGCTGAGGACTTTCAGAGCTCCAGAACCCCTTCCAGGGGGTTCCTGAAGGATCAGAAACATCTGCTGGGCTGAACTACAACCAGGAGATCTCTGGGGAGGAGCTGGGAAGTTTGAGGGAAGGTGCATCCAACGGATCTTTTTTTCTCTCTCTTTTTTGGCTTTGGCTTAGAAATGACTTTTCTGCAAATTTATTCCACGACACTCTGGGGAGAGGAACACGCTTTTAACAGGTTTTTGGAGAAGCAGGTCAGGGAAGTGAAAGCCTGGGAGGACTGGCAGGCTGGGAAACGGGCCCAAGGGTCCTCCATCCCACCCAGAGGGGCCTCTGCACCCTCCCAGCT